ATGGAATTGTGCCTATTGTCATGACACCATACAAAATGACCCAAAAAGAGTTACAATAATTAAAGATCCAATTACAAGAATTATTGGACAAAGGGTTCATCAGACCAAGTGTCTTACCATGGGGAGCTCCAGTTTTGTTCGTCAAAAAGAAGGATGGATCCATGCATCTTTACATTGATTATAGACAACTCAATAAAGTGACCATCAAGAACAAGTATCCACTCCCCCAAATTCACGATTTATTTGATCAGTTAAAAGGAGCTTCAGTGTTTTCGAAAATTGATCTACGTTTAGGTTATCATCAATTGAATATTCAAGAGAAAGATATTTCAAAGACGACATTTAGAACGAGATACGATCACTATGAGTTTATAGTGATGCCGTTTAGAGTTACGAATGCACCAACTGCTTTCATGGATCTGATGAACCGAATATTTCAACCTTATTTGGATCAATTTGTAGTGGTGTTTATCGATGACATTTTAGTGTATTCAAAGTCGGAAGAAGAACATAATTAGAATTTAAAAATTGTTTTACAGATTTTGAGAGAAAAGAAGCTTTATGCTAAACTCCCTAAATGTGAATTTTGGTTGAAGGAAGTGTCGTTCCTTGGACATGTAATTTCTGTAGAAGGAATTCCAGTGGACCCTCAAAAGATCAAAGCCATTTTAGAGTGAGAAGTTCCAAAGAATGTGTCAGAAGTCAGGAGTTTTCTGGGGTTAGCTGGCTATTACCGAAGGTTTGTTAAAAACTTTTCGATAATAGCATTACCCCTAACAAAGTTATTAAGGAAAGAAGTAAAAAAATTTTGGACTCAAGAATGTGAAGAGAGTTTTGAAATGTTAAAGAAGATTTTGACAGAAGCTCCAATGTTAATCCAACCTGAGTCTGGCAAGAATTTTGTGGGTTATAGTGATGCGTCCATAATGGTTTGGGTTATGTATTAATGCAAAATGGTAAAGTGGTGACGTATGCATCGAGACAATTAAAACCGCACGAAAATAATTATCCAATGCATGATCTAGAGATGGTTGCAGTAGTGTTTGCACTTAAGATCTGGCGTCACTATTTGTATGGTGAAAAGTGCTACTTGTATACAGATCAAAAGAGTTTAAAGTACTTGATGACTCAGAAAGAGTTGAATTTAAGACAAAGAAGATGAATGGATTTTCTCAAGGATTATGATGTTGTAATTGATTTACATCTGGGGAATTGACTCTCAAGCCATCATGGCTAGATCGAATTAAATAATTACTGGCTAGAGATGAAAAGTGTTCAAAGAAGTTACAACAGATAATGAATAAAGAGGTTACGGATTATAAAATGAAAGCTGATGGGAACCTATATTATCAAGGGAGGCTAGTGATTCGAGATGATGATGAGTTAAAGAAAAACTTGTTAACGGAAGCTAATTGTAGTCCATTGACCATGCATCCTGGAGGAAACAAAATGTATATGGATCTCAAAAGTCGATATTGGTGGCCTGGAATAAAGAGAGATATTACAGAATTCGTATCCAAATGTTTAGCGTGTCAGCAAATTAAAGCTGAGCATCAAGTTCCGTCAGGATTATTACAACCAATTTCGATTCCTCAGTGGAAATGGGATAATGTAACAATGGATTTTGTAACGGGGTTACCTTTGACTCCGAATAAAAGAGATTCCATCTGGGTGATAGTAGATAGATTGATTAAGTCAACTCATTTTATTCCAGTACGAGTTGACTTTTCCATGGATAAGTACGCCGAGTTATATATCAGGAAGATTATATGTTTACATGGTATACATATTTCTATTGTTTCAGATCGAGATCCTAGATTTACCTCACGGTTTTGGAAATCATTACATAAAGCATTGGGAACTCGGTTGAACATTAGTACGACGTTTCATCCTCAAACCGATGGGCAATCCGAGCGAACAATCCAAATTTTGGAGGATATGTTGAGAGCTTGTGTTATTGAGTTCAAAGGATCATGGGAGAGGTACTTACCACTTGCTGAGTTTGTATACAACAACAGTTATCAATCAAGTATCAAAATGGCTCCCTATGAAGCTCTTTATGAAAGAAGATATCGTACGCCCCTAAATTGGTTCGAGCTTAAAGATAAAGAAATTATTGGTCCTGAGTTGATCCAGGAAGTGGAAGAAAAGGTCCAAGTAATTCAAAGCAATCTCAAAGCAGCAGCTGATAGACATAAATCATATACATATTTAAAGAGAAAATAGATAGAATATCAAGTTGGAGATAAAGTGTTTCTCAAAGTGTCTCTATGGAAGAAAGTTTTGAGGTTTGGACGTAAGGGAAAACTTAGTCCTAGATTCATCAGATCGTATGAGATCGTAAAGAGAGTTAGACCAGTGACATATCAACTGGCGTTGCCACTTGAAATGGAGAAAATTCACAATATCTTTCATGTCTCAATGCTTCGGAAGTATCGATCTGATCCCTCCAACATTGTGACTCCAGAAGAGGTTGAGGTTAAATCGGATTTGACTTATGAAGAGGAACCGATTAAAATCTTAGCTCACGAGATTAAGCAACTAAGAAGCTAAGAAACAAGACTATTCCATTAGTTAAAGTATTATGGAGGAATCACAAGATAGAGGAAGCAACATGGGAACGTGAAGAGGATATGAGGATTCAGTACCCCCATCTCTTCGCATAATGAAAATTTGAGGACGAATTTTCTTACGGGGGAGATTTGTAACAACCTCAATACTGGGTTAGTGACTAAATTGTAAAACTTCAAAATTTGGTAATTAAAGCAGAATAATTGAAAAGTATTGTAATTTGGTATAGGGTTAAATTGCAGGGAATATGGAATTGAAGGATATAATGGTCATTTGCAAGGAAATAATTAAAGAAGGGATATATATATTAGCTACACGTGGAAAAGAAGGAAGCGAAACACAAGGTTCCAGAGTTTTCTTCTTCTCTTCTTTCGCCACACGTGAAGAGCTTAAAACAAAGGTGAGATTTCTCATGAGCTAATTGTTTGCTGAAATTTAAGTTTGGTTTTGCTCCTTAGATGCTAATTAAGCTTAAGGAAAACTTAATTTGCTTTAAAACAACAAGATGAAGGGTGTATAAATAATTAAAAATTAGGAGTTCTTGAATGGAATTTTGAAATAGAGTTCATATTTGGAATCAGAGGTTGAATTTGACTTGTCATCGACGTAATTAAGACATACGAAGTGTTAGAATTAAATTTAGAACATGTGGGAATTTGAGTGAGATTCTTAAATTCTATGTGGAGGAATGAATTTTTAAGTTTAAGAGGTATTAAATGGGTATTAATTAATTTAAGTAGGTGTATGCAAGTTAAGGATATAAAAAGAGGTGAAATATGAAGTGTTGAGAGGATTATGAAGGGATTTTCGTGCTAAAATAACATTTATGGGTTGTGTGCATCGATGCACATTCAATGTGTACCGATGCACTCTCAAATAAATGAACATCGAATGCCATTAGTGCATCGATGCATGCATAAGGAGTGCATCGATGCACCCCCTTAAAATACAAACATCGAATGGGATTTGTGTACCGATGCACAGGTAGTGCATCGATGCATACGTTAAGGAGTGCATCGATACACTGTAGAGTGCATCGATGCATACCTTCATTAAAAGATAAAAAATAGCTTTCTTTTAGCCTAAAGAGTGATAGTTTATAATATACCAATTAGTATACTGATATGTATCAATGTATTACTATGTAGATTTATAACTTAATCTTGTTCCGGAACAATCGAATGATTAGAATCGAGTCAAAACAAGGCTAAGGTGAGTGCCTATCCTAGATAGAATTGTATTGAGACAAGACTTGTGATAAGTCTATCTCTTATAATTGAAATTATGATTCCATATTCATTCACATGCATACATATATATATATATATATATATATTAATGTTATAGCGATTCCATGTATAATTCATTCATGATTTAACATGATATTCTATGAATGAATGCTATCATCAAAGAATCCTTCCAGGTATGTGAAATAATGAAAATGATCATATGAAGTGACTTACGTGTTTACATGGACAGTGATGAAAGAGATATCAAATGAGAAATGTATTTATACTTAAGCCCATGTTATTTAATATGAGAGCTGTAGGTATAATTGACATGCCAAGAGTCGATGGATTATCAGTGGTCCTTCGGGATATATCAGTGGTCCTTCGGGACATAGTGGTCCTTCGGGACAAATGTTCAGTGCCCCTAGTGGGATTTTATTCGAGCTGTGGTGACAACATTCTGCACAACATCAGTGTACTCGCATACCTTCTGTTCTCAATAATGTACATGGACAATCCAAAGATAAATTAAAATGAAATTAACATGAGAATGTATGTGTTATGTGTGCATGTTATCATCATATAAGTTATAGTGTAATAGATACATGAAAGTTGAAATGTCCTGATCAATGATAAGAATGCATGTTCATAAATTCATTGTTATACATGTGTATACATATATTTATGTTATGCTTCACTAAGTTTATTACTTAGCGTGTAAGTGATTTACATGTAGGTATCAAGAATCAAGAAGAGCAGAAATAGAGTGGCAAGAACAACAACACTGCTAGAAGATCAGATCAGAAGTAACTGATAAAGTATATATTTTGTCATGTATAGTATGTTGGCATGTAAGAAAAGTGTCAGTTATGAATACTCTGATCGATTTTGGTTGTTTTGGTCATTTCAGGTAAATAAACCGCTTTTATGTTAATGAAAGTTTTAAATTTTCCTTGAATTTTGTCAATAATTAAAGTTTGAAAAGTCAATGTGACACCTCATACTCGTATTCTGGTCGGATACGGATTGAGAGTGTTATATGAGCGATCTCAATAATAAAAAAATTATTATTATTTTTTAAGATTTGAATTCGAACACAAAATATATCAAGATAATAATATTAAATAATTAAAATTTATCTTTAAATAAGTACTACTTAACGCAATTAAAAGTTTTTTTTAAAGCTCGTAAGTCAAAATATCGTGAGGCATAAGGACTCTTCTGGTTCTTCGTTTTTAATGGTCTCCCCAGAGACCCAAATCCTCTAAATCTTATTATTAAATCTCATTGAATTCATCTGATTTTTCTTTCTAATTTTTTAATCCAAATGGGTCTCCCTGAAACTATCGATTTCGCCGGGAATTTCTCAGTTTTGGTCAGAGTCCAAGGCCCTGTAAGCCCATTTTCTTCTGCAAATTCCAACCCTGTTTCCTTATATATTTTGTTCATATGGGTGTTTAAATTTATGTTTTTTTAATTGTGCAGGACCCAAAGGGTCTGAAGATGAGGAATCATGCCTTTCACCAATACCAGTGAGTTAAAATTTTATGTTCTGTTTATTTTGTTCTTGTCTTTGTTTTTCTATTTGTTGAAATTGATCCTTTTCCTTGGGTATTTTTAGTTCCGGCAAAACGACACTGTCAGCTTCAGGCATGTTCTTACCCGACACCCTTTACAACACCGAGGTGGCTAAGCGCATTTGGGACACTAATAATGGTCGAAATTCGATGCTAGTTATGACAGTTGCTTCTGTCATTGAGCCTTTTCTCACAATTCAACATAGGAAAAACCTTTCTCAGGTAGCAAGGTTGACTTTTTATTGGGATTTTGAGTTTACACTGCTGACTTTTTGTTTTTGATGCAGAGTCTACCTGAGTTGATTCCTGGTGCTGAGATTGATATAATGGTTGAGGTATAAGATAAGCAATGTCTGTTGATTAATTTGGTATGACAATTTGTTTGATTAAAATTTAAGGTTTTGAATGAAATAGATTTCATTTTGTAGGAAAACAAGGGCGTGGATTCGGATAAAGGAGCTTATCGTTGGCATACTGCGTGGCTACTGAAAATGGTGAGCATTTATTATAAGTTGTAGCACTTGAGAATTTGATTTCATACCATATACATGATATTTGACTGATAAATGGATTTGAAGGTTGATGTACCGATGTCATCCCTTGCACTTCAATCCCTTGTTCAAGCTTCTTCAGGCTCACTAGAGAATGGATGGGAGTTCGGTTGGTCATTGGTTTCTTCAACTCATCAGCCTGAAATGAACGGTACTCAGGCGCAGGCAAGTATTAAAAATGCTTCTGTCTATTGTATTTCTTTGGTCGGGCTTGCTTCATAGAAGCTCTGTGTGAACTATATGTTACTTTCCTTCTTTACTCTCGTAGGGCTAATGTACTGGAGACCATTAGAATTGTTAGTATTTTTAGTGGCTATATATGGTGCTTTGAGAAATTCTGGCCACCAAAGCATTTATGCTTTAGAACCCTGATTTTGTTTCATTGTGCCCATCGATGTTCTGTTGTATACAGGCTAAGTTTCTTGACAGATTTATTTAATTGGGTTAATATAGTCAATAAAATGTTGTTAGTTTGCGTTTGCCGTAGATCCTGGACTTTTTCCTTTTTATTTTTCGATCATGTTCAAGGAAACATTTTTTCCTTTATTAATTCTTGATGGATTTAACTTTATTTCAGATTAAGTACGATAACAAATTTTTAATGGAGCACGAGAAGCTGGTGATGGGGGAATTGAGCAATCCTGGTCAAATGGTTAGGTCAACAACTAGAATTGCTATCCTTGGGGTTGGCTTCCATTTAAATGTAAACATTTCTTTCAATTATTGCTCTTACCTTAGTTAATATGTACCGTTCATTGTTCAACGGCAACCTTTTGTAGCAAATGAACATATTTCGATATTTTCTGGTTGGTATGGTCTTTAACTTTAATGTTGTGGATTATCATGAATCAGGACCTACCCAAAATTGGGTTATCACCTCTGAATAAAAGGGGAATTTCTTTTGGCAATAGGATCTCCTTTTGGCATCCTCTCTCCCGTGCACTTCTTTAACAGGTAGTGCTTCGTCCTGTGTAACATCTTCTACATTTTAATAAGCTAAACATTGATAATAACCAACTTGTTTGCCGAAATTAGTTTTCATTATTCCAAATGCTTAGATCACTGATACTGATTCTTGTGGTACATGAAATGGAACTAGTATTTTTTTGGGAATTTAACTTTCTACAAAACTATCAATAATTTTGTCTCTCTCTCTCTTGACATGGTGTACTGTTTATTATTTTGCGTCCTTACATTCTTTCGAGAGTTTTACTGTTTAACTGATGTCGCCACTTGAACCAGCATATCAGTGGGATCCGTTGCCAATTGCTATCCTCCTAAATCAACCGACAGAGCATTGCTGATGGCTGACATTCGATGTCTCCCTGGTGATGATATTCCACTGTTTTGTTGCCTATGATCTTTTTTATACCACAAAGCCGTAATTATGACCGACACATTTTTTACAGGAATGGAAGGTGCTCCTGTTTTTAGTGATCAGAACACGCTAGTTGGTTTGTTGACCCGACCTTTAAGGCAAAAGAACAGTGATGCTGAAATTCAGGTAACTTTCACATATTTTTCATATTCATATTTTTTAAGCTTTGTCAATGGTAATGCATCACAACAAAGTGTAGCCTTGGGTAACAGCTAGTGATTCCGTGGGAAGCCATTGCAAGTGCTTGCGCTGACTTGCTGCTGAAGGAGCCACAAATTGCTGAAAAGGGGATTAATATCAACAAGGGAAACTTAAATACTGTAGGAAATGGATTACTGTCTAACGGCAATTGTTCAAACGGACTCTGCTGTTACAGTCATGACCATCTTAACTCTCTGTGCCCTTCACTATTACCAATTGAGAAGGTAATGACTTCTATATGTCTTATTACCATTGATGATGGTGTATGGGCATCAGGTGTCGTGCTCAATGATCAAGGTCTAATACTCACAAATGCTCACCTGTTGGAACCTTGGCGATTCGGGAAAACAACTGTAAGATGCGGGACAAATAACGAGGCACCGTTTTTACTACCTGAAGGATCTGCATCTCTCGAGGGGGAAGGATTTGACAGGTTCCAGAAAAGTAGCGTAGTCCCATTTCCACTGGCTGATGATCAGAAAGGGTACAAGGTGAATGCACCTTTCCATGGCCATAGACGCATACGTGTCCGACTTGATAATCTGGACCCTTGGATTTGGTGCAATGCGAAGGTAGTATATATTTGCAAGGGACCGTTGGATGTTGCACTGCTTCAACTTGATAGTATTCCCGATAAGCTTAGCCCTATTATGGTGGATTTTAATCAGCCATCCTTAGGATCGAAGGCGTACATAATTGGACATGGACTTCTGGCACCAAGATGCGGTAAAGCTGTCGTCCATTTTATCTATTTGTGTGGTTGTTTCGATGCGTTTGATATCTTTTATCTTGATGTATTTTGCAGGCTTCTTTCCTTCGGTTTGCTCTGGAGTGGTCTCGAAAGTAGTCAAAGCAGAGATGCCATTATACTACAAATCTTTTCTACCAGGGGTTTCACAATATCCAGCAATGCTTGAAACAACTGCTGCTGTTCATCCTGGTGGAAGTGGTGGTGCTGTTGTCAACTCAGATGGTCGTTTGATTGGACTTGTTACGAGGTATGGTGAATAGCAATTGTGCAAGAAGTGGGTTTCGTCTCTTATCGATAATTCCGTTGCATATTCTTGATGATGTGTCTCGTATCGCTTTGACATCATATTGGTTAGTCAGAAGTGCTCTTCTGCATATTCTTGTCGCTTTCGTTGTCGTGGCCACATGGATGCAGTACATAATTGATGCTTCATGTGTATACATGATTGTGACATCATTTTATTGAGTTTCTATTAGACTAATCCTCGTTTCTCGTCTGTGCTTGCTGATCGAGCTGTTCTTAACGAGATATGTTCTTGATACAGCAATGCCAGGCATGGTGGAGGAAAAGTTATACCACACTTGAACTTCAGCATCACGAGTGCAGTTTTGATGCCGATCTTTCAGTTTGCGAGAGGTTAGTTAATTAGGATATCAATGGTTACCGTGTTCCATCTTCGTCTACCTATACGGCTGCTAAATTCAGTATCGATTATGTAAATCCTTCTTTGCTTCAAGTCGTAAATTATTTTCATTTTTCCTCGACAGACATGAATGATTTTTCGCCTCTGCAACATCTTGACCAACCAAACGAACACCTTTCCTCAGTATGGGCATTGATGCCTCCGTTATCTCCCAAGCCAGGTCACCAGCTTAACCTTCCCCAGCCGCCACTAGAAGGTAACGACAGCAAAGAGGAGAAGGGTTCTCGGTTCGCTAAATTCATCGCCGAAAGGAACGAATTGTTGAAGGGATCATCTCTATTTGGTAAACAGGAAAGACTTCCTAGTCAGATTCTTCGTAGTAAGTTATGACCTTTGCCATTTTTCTTGTGCCATATGTATCGAAAAGAAAAAGAAAAGAAAAATCATTCCCTGGAATATGCAGAACCAAGTTGACTCCGGTTTTGACGGAATTAACCCACAGATCATATGAACAATGGGTTTTACCTACTTATTTGTAATTAGATTTCTCGAAGAGAATCGGATTCCAAATGCCCGACATGGAAGAATGTTGTTCAACTATTCTGCCTGAACCGACAAATAGTAACCACCTTTGCACCTGCAGTCTTAGCTTGTTCAGGGTTGAGCTACTTGTTCCAAATCCGAAAAATCTTGGAATATAATTAAGGGTAAACTACACTTTCATTTGTTTTAAAATTTTATTTAATATTTACTTTTAATTTCATTTTTGGCATCTCACCGTTAAAAAGTTAGCTGACATTTTTTTATTGTTAAATGACATTATTCATCACTTAATTGTCTTCTTATTCCTTCATATTTTGGTTATTGGAATTCAATTTTTTAATTTAATTACTTAACTTTCAAGTAACTCCTAATTTTATCATTTTGACTTTTAAATTTATTTTTTATTTTAATTATATATTAATAGAATAATAATAAAAGTATCATCTCACAAAAATTATTAATAAAATTAATAGAGTGTTTAAAATATGAACAATTTGAAAATTGAGTAGTTAAATTGATTTTTTTTTAATTTTTAATGACCAAAATAAGAGAGAAGATAGTTAAATGATGAATGTTGTAACTTATCCATAAAAATGTCATTTGTAACAGTTTCATTAAATAATAAAAGTTATATATGATTTTGAAATAAATAAATATCTAAGTGTTAAAATAAAATTAATAATTTAGGTACAAAACTTGTAGTTTACCTATAATTAATCTTAATGGTTTCTTATTCTTTTAATGATACCACAATTTCACTTCGTTAATTAATAAAAATTCGTGAATTTAAATAATTTATAAGATCAAAATAAAAAAGCAAAGATTCTTGAAGCACTTGAAACCAAAATTAAAGTGATATTAAAAAAATGTAGATGATTGTTTTTAAATTCAAAAGTAAATGTGTTTATTTTTAAAAATAATAAATACTTTTCGTTCAATAGCTTTAAGCATTAGTTAATGATTTAACTCGACGTGATTGAAGAATATATTTTTTTTCACCTGATTTTATCTAGAAAGTATACTTTCTCCACTTGACTTGATTTAAAGGGTATATATATATATATATATATATTTTTTGTCGAAGTTCAACTTAATTCGACATAAATATATAATACAAATTATTTTTATTTCATAAAATAGGAATTTAAATTAAAAAAATTACAAAGAAAGAAGTATTATACTAAATATTTCTAATTTATAGAAGAAAATTTTCAGGTTGGATCGAATATATTTTATCTTAAATTCAAATTTGATCCGATTTAAATATTAATTTTTTTGAAAAAAAGTAAATATACTAGATTAAATTGAATAAGAATCTGTCATATTCAAATTAAATTATCATCCTTATTTAAAATTAAAGTGACAATAAAAATGTAATTGATGAATTACTTTTTAATTCAAAAGTAAATTTATTTTGACTTTTAAAAATAATTAATTAATTTTCAATCAATAGTTGTATGCATTAACTAAGGTCCAAAATAACAATATTACCAAATTCAAAATTTCCTTAATCTCTATTTAGTTGTCTTAAATCAGCGAGATCTATGTCGTTCTCATAGTCAACGACCCGACAGGGATTGGACCAAACTCCCACGTCCCCTTACTTCAAAACCCGATGGGGGAGGCTTCCACCAAATCTTCCGGTTACAAAGAGTACGTCGCCGGCTTGCTCGCCGGTGTTGCTACCGTCGTCGTCGGTCATCCCTTCGATACTGTGAAGGTACAATAAAATTTTCTCTCTCTTTTTTTTGTTGAAGCTTTTTTCAGGTATGGTTCTGGACAAGCTTTTGAAGATATATGCTTTGTTTTTTTTAATAGTAAATTTTGTTTGTAGGTGAAGTTGCAGAAACACAATACTGAAGTTGGAGGCATTAAATACAGAAATGGCTTGCATTGTACTGCTAGGATACTTTCAACTGAAGGGGTTTGTTTCTTTAGCATTTCTCTCGTATATTGTTTATGGGGATTTCCCATATTTCAACATTCTGTTGCAGAATACCTCATTTTCTACTAATTCATCGATTATTTGTTGTACCAGTATTCCAATCCTATAAAATTCTTAGCATCTATTACATATGGCTGTTGCCCTCTATATTTGGCAGGTTAAAGGGCTTTATAAAGGGGCAACATCATCTTTCATTGGAGTGGCTTTCGAAGTTCGCTTGTTTTCGGCATTTATTCACAAACGAAAAAGTTTCTGCGGGTTCGTATTAGTTGAAATCGAAAGTGATGATGATCATACATTATCCATGGAACTATGCTGCCTAAATAAGATCAGAAAGCTTGTAATGATTTTTAATTCATTTGGCTAATGAAAGGAGGAGTTTGGAGTAGTGAGCCGCAGCCTCGAGTAATCATTCCGTCGGCTGCTTTCGGTGGAGCTATTATCAGTTTCGTTCTATGTCCATCGGAGCTGGTGAAGGTAACGGTTCTGTATTTGTACCGTGCCATGATTTGCTCTATGATTCTTCATGTAACTGTGGGCTTGTCCAGTGTAGGATGCAAGTTCAAGGCACTGATTCGTCGGTTCCGAAGTCCGGTAGCATCTTAGTCCTCTCGATTGTGCACTCAAAACCATAAGAAGTGATGGGGTGAGAAAATACTCTGCTTTTTGCCGACGTAATGCATCGCTGGTAAGCTAACGGAATTCATTTCAGGTTGCAGGCATGTTTCGAGGTGGAACTGCGACGTTATTGAGACAATCTGTTGGAAATGCAGTGTTTTTCAGTGTGTATGAATATGTCCGTTATTACGTGCACCTACGGCTGAACAATGATTCATTGGACCCTAAAAACTTGACTGATATCGGAATCGGAATTTTGTCTGGTGGTCTCGGTGGTGTTGCTGTAAGCATTCCAACATCCTTGCATTCTGAATTCTTACTTCTATGTTTACTATATGGTCTTTTATTTCCAGTTCTGGTCTCCTGTATTACCTTTGGATGTGGCAAAGACTATTATCCAGACTAGTCGGATAAGAGCTCTCCAACGAATCCTTTCCGAGTTTTAATTTCGGTAAGACGATGATCCAATTTCTCTCCTCATATGTTTTTATAGTTATGGAATCAGTCTCTCCTAGTACCAGAAGACACAGGGCAGCATTACTGAGGTACTATAAAGCTCGAAATGATATCGATACTCTTCGCCTAGCAGATTTACCGGAGGCCCGGAATTAGAGAATGCTATGCAGGTTCTGGTCCTACGATAGAGCATTTCCGGCTAATGCAGCTGCAATCGTGACCTGGGAGCTAGCCATGAAGCTGCTTGGAATCAAGAATAACTAATTCATTTATCTCATTACAACAAGATTCCAAGTTTTCAAAGTTTTATTGACCTCGGTAGCCAATCTTAGGCTGATCCATGGATTTATTGATATGATCTCGAAGCTTGAATTTCGGAAGTACTCGTTGGTGGCTGAAACGATGGTGAGCTTTGTCATGTTACCCGAATTTTCACAGATCCTTGATCTAAGTCAAAGAAACAAATGGTTAAACCTGAAAGTTGCTGAAGTCCGTAGGATAAAAACTTTGGACAAATGTGTAATAATGTTGTATTCATATTGATAGGGCACTGCCATCTCTGGTAGCTATCGAACTGCTTAAAACTGTACACCATTATTGATACCATCTCACTGTTTCAACACATTGTTGTCTGCCTTTTACCATTGCCCTTTTCAGACAGTAAGCTGTAAGACTGTCAGTTCTGGTGAGGTGAAATTCCAATATGCAATGGTTGTGAATGTGGACGAGTCCTTTTGGATGCTGATAAACCATATTGCTCTCTCAACTAGAAAACAACCTAGGTTCGATTCTCAAAGGGGTAATCATGAATAATGAAACCAACGAATATCAAAGTACAAACACATGTGAATACAAATTTCAAAACAGTAGATGTACTCAAAATTATAAAATGTAGGATTAGAATCTGTGTGCATTTGTGGTAAAACTTTTAGTTTTACATTTTTTTATGATAGTGGATGGTTGAAAACAGATTGTTAAGAATCCACGTGCATTTATTGTAGAACTTTTAGTTTTACATTTTTTATAATTGTGAGATGATTGAAAATAGATTTTTAAAATTATCTTATTGTTTTTTCAGTGAATATCTTCTCATGTTCTATTGTTAATATTAATCGTTCATTTTCACTATTCCAATGATTCTATAAAAAAACTATACGGTGCGAGCAAATATCACGTGTGATCAGCTCATTTGAGTGTCTCTTTTAGTTTGTGACAAAATCTCATATCCAAGTTGGCTCAGGTTTTTATTTTTTCAAATAGGGCAAACTAGATATATATTTAGACCAAGAAGGCACATAAGTATTTATTTGAGATCTACAATATTTTTTACAGTACACATTGAATTTGTCATATTGAGGTAACGGGTTCTATAAAAAATTATATTTTACTCGACCGAGTGATCAATTTGAATATTTAATTATTTTTTTGGAACTCGTCACCTTAAAATGATGAGTTTGACTAAAATAATTTTTTTTTGTATTGCAATATTTTTTTATTATTATTTTGAATAATTTGGGGGTAAGTACAAAGAATAACAATAATTTCTTTAACAAAGCGACCATTTTGTTTTAAATATCTAGCCGTTCATAGACATTGGATAACTAGCCGTTTATAACCGTTGGAACTTGTCATGTAGGTGTGACGAGTTCCAATGATCATTTTGATAAGTTTTCATTAAGTTGATAGAGTTATATGAGAATCAAATCATGCATTTGTGGGAAGAATATGCAAAAAATTATCGAGGGTATGATTACTCTCACATTGACGATTCAGATTCAAGCTCATCTTGAGATGAGGAGTAGGTAAAAGAGGCAATAAAGTTGATACTTGATCAACACAAGGAGAGAATGAAAGTTGAAGAAGATCTGCGACATTTATCGTTTCAGCTTATATCTTGATCATTTGATTATTTGAAGATTGATGCAGTCCAACCATCACAGCAACATCGTCATCATCCTCAAGCTGGATTGCTCCATATGTGAGTGGTCTCTAAAATCATTTGTTGGTAACTTAACATGAAACAGAAGCTTCAAGT